ACACCCGGCGAGACAAGGTCACGCCCGGTGCCACACCAGAAATCCCCAAGCAATGTCACTTACTGATATCGCGCCCAGCACGGTCCAACCACGCCTGGCGGGGGCCATCCAGAGGCTCACACCCTCAAGCTCGCCCGGCGCATACACCAATTTACGTCGGGTTTCGTTGTTCTGACGTAAATTTACGTCGGACTACAGGGGTTTCGACGTAAATTTACGTCGGACCACCTCTAGTCCGACGTAAATTTACGTCGCACTATGAGACTGCGACGTTAATTCCCACATTTACGTCGGACTAGGGGGGGGCCGGCGTAAATTAGTCTCCACTTAATTACGAAACTGCCACCACGTTTTTACAACGTCGGTGTTTACTGTTTCCGACGTAAATTGGGTGACGTAAATACCCTTTTTTGCACTAGTGACCAACACGTCCACACTTCCCACATCTTGCTGAAGGAGTGGACACAGACCCTCCAACACTTCCAGTAGCACTAACAATGGATCCTCTAGTAAATGACTTACTTTTATTAGCAGCAACTCTACTCCCTTGAAATCTATTAGAAGCGGAGTAAGGCTTACTCCTACCCGAAGTACTAGAACTCATAGCACGGATAGGACCTCCAACTCCTTTATAGAAAGCAACACGAGCACGGTTGTCACAATCATAAATGTTGCACTTATTGACCAGAGTGGGAAAGTGATATATCTCCTAATAGTTAATTGCAGTTTTTACTTCAGGATGCAGACCATTTACAAATTTTATGCATTTAGCTCTTTCACCACCCTCACCATGGTAGTGTGTACAATAACGAACTAAAGCATCAAATTTGGCAGCATACTCTGCCACTGAGTCATTCCCTTGATTCAGTTCAAGGAATTCCATTTCTTTCCGACTCCTCACATCATCCGGGAAATATTTCTCAAGAAAAACCTTCTTGAAGTTGTCCCAATTCAAATGCACCCCTCCATCAATCATCATCCGAAGTGCTCCTTCCCACTAAAAGTGAGCATCAGCAGTCAACATGAAGGTGGCCAACTTCACCTTCTAACCAAGGGGACAATCCATCACATTGAAGATCTTCTCAATCTCCGTTAGCCAATTCATAGCAGCATCTAGGTCATATCCTCCTTTAAAGGTAGGTGGGTGATTTCGTTGAAATTGTTCCAACTAGTTAGGAGCTACCTCAACCCTATTGTTATTATTCATAGCTTGTGCTAATGCTTGAAGAGCATCAGCAATCGCACGATCATTTCTACCAACCATAGTCTAAAAAAATAATACAATTAATAAACATAATCAATCATCATACTAGCATACCAACAAGTTTCACAATCAGTTCAGTCCATCATTCATGTACCAAATAAGCATAGTAAACCAAATAAGCATAGTAAACTCATAACTCATGGTCGATTAGATCGACCTGCTCTGATACCACTAAATGTGACACCCTCTACCCCAATATTAATACACAATAAATGTGGACAAAATTTTATTTTACTTTTCCTTTTTGAGTAAATAAAACCTTTCATAGTTTGATAACATCTTTCAAAAGTAATTGTCTCATATCATAAGGTAGAACATTCACATTCGTAACTCATAAAACATAGAAAGTCATCATGTAAGTATCAAAATTCAAGATATCATATAAAAGGAAAATATAGATTAATTCTAGCAAAGGTGGCAGTGCCTCCTAGTTAGGAATTAATTTATAAATTTCAAGTCATGTAATAAAAATAATATGACAAAGATGCATATTTTGGTCTTTTATCAAGGACGTTCAAAATTACAAAAGAAAGATTACAACTTTATTTACGTTATTTCTTCGCTAGAAATTACAAAAGAAAACAAACTAAAGTTATTAAAACAATAACATATTAGACTAAGCTAGCTAAGCCCCGATGTCACATCCTATCAGAGCATGCCCAACTGAAGCCTTAAGCCTCATCACCAACATCCTCATGATGATGAACGCCTGCAACATAATTTAAACACATATAAAAGCAACAAGGGAGTGAGAAACATCTCACTCAGTTTTAGGTGAAGAAATAAAGGTTAGATAACACACACACACACAACAAATATAAGTCACATGTAAACAATACGCATACATAATCAACAACACATATACACTTATTTATCATGCAATGATATCATGAACTTGACTCATAAATGCATGCATGTGGCGTCATAAGGAAGTTTCACATATCATCATTGGTGATCCTAAGGTACTCCTGGTTAGCATGTTACATCGTGGGTGACCCTAAGGTACACCTTGTTAGTCGTGGGTGACCCTAAGGTACTTCTTGTTAGTCATGGGTATGCAGCCTCAGCGGCACACCTGGAGTCATATATGCATATGATGCATGTCATACAGTCATTATTTCATTGACTCAACATTTAACTTATTACATAATTTCATTTAGTACATATGTCCTCATTTGTCATATTCTCATAATCATAACTTGTCTCAATAGTCCATTCTTATGTCTCATGTCATTTGTCCATATTTCACATAGTCATGTCATAATTATTCCTTATAAGGTCCGCATAGGAATTCAAAGGGCATTCTTATTCATATTAAAACTTATTCATTTTTAACGTTAATGACATAATCATTTATTATTTCCAACAAGGAATAAAGTAGAGCAAACAGAAAATAAGCCAGAACAACGGCAAGGGATTGGGGACTAATCCAACAATCAAACTATCCAACAATTATTCCCACACCCCCGAGCGAGATTTCTCACTCCCCCTTTACCTGGATAAGCAGAGCTGAAACTAGAGCAGAACCTCCTCCTCTAGATTCCCTCTTCTTTCCCTCTCTTTCTTTCTCTTTCTCTTTCTCTTTCTTTCTCTTTCTCTCTCTCTCTCTCTCTCTCCCTCTCTCTCTCTCTCTCTCTCTTTCTCTCTCTAAGATTTTCACTTCTTACTCAGTTATAAATTTTTTTTCACCCCTGCCCCTATTTATAGGCATCTCGGCGCACCCGAAACGGCCCGTACTGAATTCGGAACGGCCCGTTCCCGAGCCTTCAAATATAGGCAAATTTTTCAACTGGAACGGCCCGTTCTAAAACCAGAACAGCCCGTTCTAGAGTTCACTTTTACACAGATTGACCATAAGGAGAACGGCCCGTTTCCAACTTGACTTTTTAGTCAATTTTAGAATTCCGGAACGGCCCGTTTCCCTTTGGGAATGGCCCGTTCTACTTTTGGAACGACCCGTTCTGATACTTCAAAAATAGTATATTTTCTGTGTGGAATGATTCGTTCCAATTTTGGAACAGCCCGTTCCGGCGTAAAAACAGAATTTTATAAAAAAAAATTCATAAATAATTTAAATTATTACAAACCTTTAAAAATATTCGATAAAACCCCTTTTAATTAACAAAAATAACTATAAAAAATAATATTCATAAATATAAAAATAAACAATAATAAATATTGCATTAGTAGAAAATTCGGGATGTTACAAATGTCTAATGAAATGAATTATTAAATAATTGATAAACTTTTTTTTACCTAATTTAGAACTAAATCACTATATGTAACTCCTTTTTTTTTTTATCAATTTCCATTTCTTGTAATTTCTATTTTCTACTACTTTTAGCTCAAAGCCTCAATTCTTGATATTTTTTCACGTAGTCCAACGTAGATTCCTTATTTATGGATTCTCCGATCTTTCAATCACCAGCAGTTCTCATCAACAATGTCATCATCATTCCACAATACATGTTCAAATTTGCAAATGTCTTAGGAAAAACAATGGGCAATTTTTTTTGTTTTTGGCCCAAACACCCTACTAATTAGGCAGGACTTTATTAATTAGTATCCATTCCTAAGTTTATAATTGGATAAATTTTTTAAGAAGTATTTTTTAGAGAAAAATATGAAATATAATACAAATTTTTCTATAAACTAAAATAAGCTAATTCGTATTTTTTTTTTTTATAAAAGAAATTTTACAAATTAATTTACATATAATCTAATTTTAATTTATAAAAATTTATTTATTTATTTTTATTTTCTTCTTAGAAGTGATGAAAAAAGTTTATCCGAAAACCAACCCCCACCCCCAACAAACCTTTAAAAGAATAAACAAGTGCGGACATTGATCTTCAGGGAAAAAAATGTTTGGAAAATATAAATCAGCCAAATGAAAACTGGTGTCAATAGGATTTAGATGAATCAAGTCATTAAAAAGATAAGATTGATTAACTATTATTATGTACTTATTTTAAAAACTAAATACTTAAATAAGACTATTTTGAAATTGCTTATATTTTTAAAGGAAAAATATTTTTTTATTTGGACCAATATAGATTATAACAATTCCAAAAAAAAAGGGTCACTTTATATCGTTATAACTGATAACGATTTAAATTAGTTTGCTACAATAATCTTTATTTTATAACTCTCATGATTTATTAAAAAAAAAACAAAGACACGTGAAATATGAATTATCATGAGCTATAATAATTCTACGGTAAACAATCTTAAGAATATAAATTATTTTAAAACAAGCTCGTTTAATAATTTATTTTTAAAATAACCCTAAATTACTCAATCTGCGAAAAATAAATAGATTATGCAGTTGGGTACTTTCAATTATCTTATGGGACCCAGTATAATATTTTTAAGCCATAAAGTTAAAAATGCAAATGCTTATTTATTCCATCATTGTTGAAAAATTGGCAAAAGAAATTGCTTCTTAAACCGAAAGGCAGACAGGTAGACAATATTCTGAAAAGGATCAGAAAAGAATAACCAAGACTCGTTTGAAAGCATACTTATCCAGAAAAAGAAAGCTGGTATTCATGTTTTTATCATATGACTTGTTCTAGACATATCAAGTTAGTTTCATTTTTATAATAAACTGATTTTTCCATTTCATTTCTATCTTTCTTTTTCTTTGCAGTTATATTAATTGTGGTAGCAGAATAATTATGGATCAGGTAGCAGAATGATTTGGATCACCTACAAAATTTACTCGGAACTCTTGATAATTATGGATCAGGTAGCAGAATAATTGTAACTACAAGAGATGAGCAAGTGCTTAATGCTAACAAAGCTGATGAGATATATAGGCTTACAGAACTCAGTTCCAGTGAAGCACTTCAGTTTTTCAATTTGAATGCCTTTAACAAAAGTGATCTTCACAAGGAGTACAATGAGCTATCAAAAAAGGTGGTCAATTATTCCAAAGGTGTTCCATTAGTACTTAAAGTTTTAGCTCGTCTTCTTTGTGGAAAAAATAAGGAAGTATGGGAAAGTGAATTATCCAAACTTGAAAAAATTCCTCCTACGAAAGTTTACGACAAAATGAAACTCAGTTTTGATGATCTAGATCGCAAAGAGAAACAAATTTTTCTAGATCTTGCATGTTTCTTTCTCAAATTGTCTACAAAGATAAATGTAGATAATCTAAAATCTTTACTAAAAGATGATAAAAGTGATAATTCAGTGATTTTTGGGCTAGAAAGGTTGAAAGACAAAGCTCTTATATCTTTTTCAGAGGATAATATTGTGTCTATGCATGATAGTTTACAAGAAATGGCATGTGAGATTGTTCGTCAAGAGTCTATTGAAGACTCTGGAAGCCGCAGCCGATTATGGGATCCCAATGACATTTATGAAGTACTGAAAAATGACAAGGTTTAAATCCTAACTAATTATATCTTTTTAATGACATATGAATTTTCTTTATTAGAGAAATGTGGCTTTTTGGTGATGGTTAAAAATTTTCTTTAACATTGATGGCAGGTTACTGAGGCCATTAGAAGCATACGAATTCAGTTGACAACAATTAGGGGACTAAAGTTAAGGCCTCACATATTTGCTAAGATGAGCAAACTGAAATTTCTGGAAATTTCAAGGGAAGATGCATATTATGGTTTCGAAAATCAACTTGGTGAAGGACCTCTATTTTTGGCAACTGAATTAAGATTTCTTTCTTGGGATTGTTACCCTCTAAAATCCTTGCCACAAAACTTTTCTGCCGAAAAACTAGTAATATTGAAATTACAACTGAGCAAACTGGAAAAACTTTGGGATGGAGTGAAGGTAAATAAGTATCTCACTGTTATAATTTTATTGTTGCATCGTTGAGACCAAATTAACTAATTTAGTGCATTTGATATCTCTATTTTATTACAGAACCTGGTGAGTTTAAAAGGTGTTTACCTCGATGGATCTTCTGAGTTAAAGGAGCTGCCAGATTTATCTAAAGCTATAAATCTTGAAGTATTGGATCTCTCTAGTTGTGAAAGTTTGACTACTGTGCATCCATCTATTTTCTCTCTAGCCAAACTTGAGATATTGAATCTTAGTAACTGTATATCCCTTACCATACTTTCAAGTGATTCCCATATGCATAGCCTCAATTATCTCATCCTTGATTATTGTAAGAGTCTTACTGAATTCTCAATTATATCAAAAAATATGGAAGAATTGGACTTATCATGGACAGAGAAAATGAAAGCACTTCCCTCGTCATTTGGACATCAAAGAAAGCTTAAATCACTAGATCTAACAGGAAGTGGCATTCAGAGGTTACCTTCATCCATCAACAATCTTACGCAACTGCTACATCTAAACCTAAGCTATTGCCGTGAGCTTGAAACAATACCAGAGCTTCCCCTATCCTTGAAAAATATAAACGCTAGGGATTGCAAATCGTTGAAGACAATATTATTGCTCCCTTCAACATCTGTTGAACAATTAAGGGCAAACAGGACACGAGTTCTGTTATGGAATTGCTTGAACTTGGATCAACATTCTCTAGTTGCTATTGAGTTGAATGCACAAATCAGTGTGATGAATTTTGCAAACCAACACCTATCTGTTGAACATTCTCCAGTTGCTATTGGGTTGAATACACAAGGCAATGTGATGAATTTTACAGATCACAATAAAGTTGTTTATGTGTATCCTGGAAGCTGTGTTCCAGAGTGGTTGGAGTATAAGACAACAAATAATTATGTAATTATTGATCTCTCTTCTACTCCATCCTCTCCCATGCTTAACTTCATTTTTTGCTTCGTCCTTAGTAAGTATGAAGGAACAGCAAGGAAAAATGAACTTACAGTTAAAATCACTTTAAGTGACGGTGATGGTGAAGGTGAAAGGGACAGTGTTGAAATGTTCATGGATGATTGGTTTTTTTCTTGGACAATTGAGTCGAATCATGTGTGTGATGTACGATCGAAGATGTTCTAACTTCCTAAATAGTAGAGCCCAAAATCAAACAAGCTTTAAAATCCAAGCTCAAATAGGGTTAGACACATATGACATTTGGTTGGACCATGGGTGTGAATTAGTAATGCGGCCGGATATGGTACAACATTAAGTCATTCAACAAATGTCAATGTCTCAGTTTCATTAAGCACGTGGAATTGGGTTGTGTGCTTCCTATAATCTCAGGTATTTCCTTCCTCCAGTCTACAACCAAATCTTTGATTTAGAAGACTGTGTCATTTCATATTATATGAACTTATTTGGTTACAACATTAAGTTATTTATAACTTAAAAAGTTAACATTTGAACCTACTAAGCTCTTAAGCAAGTAAGTACAAGTAACTATTACTCAAAAGACAACAATATGCAAGCCTACTAAAAACTACGGAGAATCGTTACTGAAAAGGAATATGACCGTGGACTAAGTAATGATTGTGATAATTAATTTTCAAGTATGCACATTACAATTGTGGGTCTACATGGTTGTAAATTTATAGGATAAGGTATATATTCTGAATAAAAATGCTAAATCCTCGGAATTTAAATTCCAAAATATCTTCCGAACGTTAAAATTTTTTGAAAAGTCAAATGTGTAAGTTCACTGACTTGAATCTTTTATGTGTTTGGAAAAAATTTCAGACGATGGATTCGGACTATATAGCATTACTCTATTCTGAAACTGAATGTTTTGGTCTTGCTTTGGTGTTATCAATATTTTCCTTCTGCATCATCTTTAGCAACTAATGAAGATCATATAATTTCTCAAGTAGTATCACTTTTCCTTGACTCTAGCATATTTTGAATATTAATTCTTCCATTGCCTCGTATTGATACTGTGTCTTTATGTTGTAAACTTTTTAATTTGTACAAGGTTTAGGCTATTGAGTGTACTATATTTATTTTTGAAGTATTGAGAAAAAATTATCATAAAAATGTGATGATTGATGAGGACTAAATATGTAAAAATTAAATTAATTAACACATAACTTTCTACACTAGTTGTCTATGTTTTTTAGGCTTCATCCCATATTCGAAACACACACTATTCAGATGAAACATTGAAGAATCGGATTTCGAGTTGGCATGATATTATTGTCACTATATTCTTTTGTGTTATCTATTTCTTTCATGTGATATGGTTTGGTATAAAGATTTGACAAAAGACTTAGTTGAGGCATTCAAATTCATCTATTCAACAGTTTCCATTTTTTCTTGTTTGGTGAAAATTTCCTTTTCAGAAGGGATGATGCATTTAGCTCTAACACATGAAGGTTGTGCACTATCTCTTGGTTATCAGAATCCAAAGTCCTTGCATGGAATCAATCAGTTGTAGTTGCTGCAGAAACCATCCCAAAATTCTCATAGGTAGTGTCAGAGAAGGAAAATGGGCAATAAAATGCTTAGTAGGAAGTTGAGAGCAAATAATTGTATTTGATGGCCATTGCAACCACAAAGTTGATCTTTTATTCACTTTGAGATTTGTGAGAAAGTATGTGTTTGAGACTCTAATAGCTGCACATGGAGTATTATTTGCTTGACTATTTTTTTCAATTAAAATATTCATGTTAATTGCATGTTATGGTGTTATTGAAAGAAAAGTCCTAAATTCGTGCTTGAAAATGTTAATTTCGAGTTACAAGAAATGACACAGAAATATCTGTTGACTGTTGTTATTTAAAATATAAAAATTCTAGGGTATCCACTATAATCGTAGGGTATTGGAACAATCATTTTATTTATTTATTTTTATTTATTATAATTACTTGTTTTATTTTTATTTTTATTTAATATTTTTAATTATTTATCTATATAAATTTTTTTATATCTTTATATTATTTTTATATTTTTTAATTTATATCTTAATGTAGCATCTATTATAATTAAAAAGTTTAATATTAATATTTTGTTAATATGTTTTAGTTTTTCTTTGGTGATATTTTTTTTAAAAATTTATAGTATAAATTAGTTTTTCAGTTGTATTATTTATTATTTATTTTAATATTTTTATAATATTATTATAATTTTTTGTTTTTAATTTTTTAATTTTGTCATATATAAACAAAATTTGTTATGAAAATTGATCTTTGATTATTTTTTTAATTAGTCTTTTTTATTGATTCATTTTTTACAAATTTTTAATCTAAAATTTGTTATTTTGAATTTATTTTTTAAAATTTATTTATTCACATAATTAAATATACCAAAACCCTTCGATTTTCATGGGTACTGTAACGTAGCAAATTGGTGTTTTAGTAGCCCAGAACGGGCCGTTCCAAGTTATTAAAATGACCAGTAAATCGTAGCTGAGAACGGGCCGTTCTAGAGGGAGAACAGGCCGTTCTGGTTGGAGAACGGACCGTTCTGAAGGGAGAACGGACCGTTCTAGAGGGGAGTACGGGCTGTTCTGGATGGAGAACAGGCCGTTCTGGATGAGTTCTAGAACAGGCTGTTCTGATTTCAGAACGGGTCGTTCTGCATTTAATTTTTGTACGTGTTGAGGGGGTGTAGAACGGGCCGTTCAGGATTCGGTACAGGCCGTTCTGGCCACTCTGGAATGTCTATAAATAGGGGTTGTGGGCAGTTGAGGAGAGGAGGTTTTAGAGAGAAGTTCTAAAGAGAATGGCTCTGGACTAGAAAGCTTACTTTTGAAGGATTGAAGTTCTAGGTTGAGCTTCGGAAAGGAAATTCTGCTTCTTGGCTATTCTGAGCCAATCTTCAAGTAAGGGAAGCTAGGTCTTTAGCTGTTTGGATTGAAAATGAGTTCCTAACTCATGGTGTGGCTGATTTTATGTTGATTGATGGGCTGTTGTGGTGAAAAATTCGTTTTGGGGTTTCCGGGTTTTGATGAAAATCTAGGAGTTTTTCTTGATTGTGGTTGTATGTGGGAAAAGCTGGGATTTCTAGGTCGTTTGATGAAAATGTGATGTTTTGAACTGATTGCATGCGTCTGAAAAGATGAGTTGGTGCAAGTTTTGAAGAATTTTCGAAGATTGAGGGTTGCTGTTGGATAATGCCGAGCGCAATTCTTCGCGCCGGGCGCGTGACCATCAGAGAGCTCCATTGGGCAAGCCCGCCGGGCGCAGTGGTGTATGCGGCGGGCGAGGTTGAGGGTGTGAGCTTCTGGATGGCCGCCGCCAGGCGTGGTTGGACCGTGCTGGGCGCGATATCAGTAAGTGACATTGCTTGGGGATTTCTGGTGTGGCACCGGGCGTGACCTTGTCTCGCCGGGTGTGGAGACTCCTTAGGAGTCTCTGCCAGAGGTGGTGCCAGGCGCAATAGATATTGTGTCGGGCGTGAGACTTTGGGGAAGTCTCTACTTACCCTGCGTCGAGCGCGGGTTCGTACGCCGGGCTTGGGAGACCTTCTAAGGTCTCTACCTCCTAGTACGCCGGGCGCAATGGGAATTGCGCCGGGAGTGCTTAGCCTTGATGCTCTCTGGTTGTGCCACGCTGGGCATGACCATGAGCGCGACGGGCGCAGAGATGATAGTTGATGTTAAGCTGATATGTGTAGAAATTTGCTGATAAATATGCTTAGCTGAGCTGTGGGTGTTAAATATTTCTTTGTTGACTAGTTGATAATAGCTGAGCTGTAGATGTTAAATATTAATGTGCTGACTAGTTGATAATAGCTGAGCTTTAGATGTTAAATATTGTTGTGCTGACTAGTTGATAATAGCTGAGCTGTAGATGTTAAATATTGATGTGCTGACTAGTTGATAATAGCTGAGCTTTAGATGTTAAATATTGATGTGCTGACTAGTTGATAATGCTAGATTATGATGTTGAGCTATAATTGATGAATATTGTTGTGTTGTGAGCTGTTAAGCTATGTTGAATATTACTAGCTGGGATGTAAGCTGTTATTGTTGTAAGCTGTTAATGTCGTATGTTGTTATTGCTGAAAAGCTGTATTGTATAATGTTGAGCTGTGTTGTTTAGCTATATATGCTGGATGCTGATATTGTTGTGCTGTAAGTTGTTAAGTTGAGTTGTATGCTGTTATAGCCACTAATGTGGTGTTGTTATAGCCGCTAAGTCGGTGTTGTTATAGCCACTAATGTGGTGTTGTTATAGCTGCTAAGTCGATGTTGTTATAGCCACTAATGTGGTGCTGTTATAGCCGCTAAGTCGGTGCTGTTATAGCCACTAATGTGGTGCTGTTATAGCCGCTAAGTTAGTGCTGTTATAGCCGCTAAGTCAGTACTGTTATTGAAGAATGTTGTGATATATTATAGGCTGATATTATTAAGTTGATTGATGTGCTGATAGCTGTAGCTGTTTACTATTCATATATTTATATATGTATGTTGTTTCTTTTCACTAGCTTACCCTTTGTTGTTTCCATGTGATTTTGATTGCGATGATCATACTATGTATGGGAGCAGAGCAGGGTTAGGTTGGTGTTTGCTGAGGAGGGTCTGCAGCTAGCAGATGGAGTCTTATTCTTTTAATGTATTTAGCTACTTAGTTTAGCATTTGCTGGATGTATTTTTGTACACTCTGACTCTAGCCAGATTTGGACCTTGTATATATATATATTCTAGACCCTATACGTATATACTTGTTCTTCTCTGTGTGGTGTTTTGGTGTTGTGCTGTGTGTAGTGACCAGTCGGGTCGTTACACTTTAGTGGTATCAGAGCAGTTCGAGTCTACACTACAAAAAAAAGTCATTTTAGCCACCGAAATTAGCGACCGAATTATTTTCGTTAATTAGTGATCGAATTTGACTCGGTAGCAAATTTTATTTAGCGACCGAAATTTGTAGTGGCTAACAAACGGTCGCTAAATCGGTCGCTAACATAACAAATGTTTGTTAAATTAGCGACGGAACGGTTTCAGTCGCTAACAAAATTAAAATAATATTATTTATGATAATTTTAGCGACCAAATAGAAAATCGGTCACTAAAAAAATAAAATAATATTATTTTATAACAATTTTAGCGACCAACTAAAATCGGTGGCTAAAAAATAATTTTTTTTTCTTATTTATAATAAGTTTAGCGACCGAAATATAATCGGTCGCTAAATAAATAAAAAATAATATTATTTATAATAATTTTAGCGATCACACTAAATTCGGTCGCTAAAAAAAATATATTATTTAAAATAGAGTTAGCGACCAACTCAGAATCGGTCGCTAAAAAAAATATATTTATTATTTATAGTAACGTTAACGACCGAATTGTAATCAGTGGCTAAAAAATATTAATATTTTTGAAATAATTTTAGCGACCGAATTTATATCGGTCGCAAATAAAATAAAAAATTATTATTTATAATAATGTTAGCGACGAATGTAACACCCTCTACCCCAATATCAATACGCAATAAATGTAAAGAAAAATTTCTTTTTCTTTTTGAGTAAATAAAATTTTTCATAGTTTAATAACATCTTTCATGTATAAAACAATTGTGTCAAATATTATAAGGTAGAAGATTCACATTCGTAACTCATCAATCATAAAAAGTCAACATATAAGTATTAAAACTCAAGAAATCATATAAAGGAAAATATAGATTAATTCCAGCAAAGGTGGCAGTGCCTCCTAGTTAGGAATTAATTTATAACTTTAAAATCATATAATAAAATAGTATAACAAAGATGTACATTTTGGTCTTTTCTCAAGAACGTTCAAAATTACATAAGAAGAGAAAAGTAAAGCTTTTAAAACAATAACATCCCAAAAAAAACAAGCCTAGCTATGCCCGATGTCACATCCTATCAGAGCATGCCTCACTGAAGCCTTAAGTCTCATCACCAACATCCCCATGATGCTGATCATCTGCAACATAATTTAAAACATATACAAAAACAACAAGGGAGTGAGAAACATCTCACTCAGTTTCAGGTGCAGTAATAAAAGTTAGATAGCACACACACACACAACAAATATAAGTCGCATGTAAAACATACACATACATCAGCAATATCACATATATACTCATTTATCATGTTTGTGATGTCATGAACTCGACTCATAAATGCATGCATGTGGCGTCATACAGAAGTTTCACATATCATCACTGGTGACCCTAAGGTACACCTGGTTATATCACTGGTGACCCTAAGGTACACCTTGTTAACATCAACTGTCGGTGACCCTAAGGTACACCTTGTTAGCATCAACTGTTGGTGATCCTAAGGTACACCTTGTTAGCATCACCTAAGGTACACCTTGTTAGCATCAACTGTCGGTGACCCTAAGGTACACCTTGTTAGCATCAACTGTCGGTGACCCTAAGGTACACCTTGTTAGCATCATGGGTATGCGGCCTCAACGGCACACCTGCAGTCATATATGCATATGATGCATGTCATACAGTCATTATTTCATTGACTCAACACTTAACTTATTACATAATTTTGTTTACTACATCATGTCCTCATTTGTCATAGTCTCATAATCATATCATGTCTCAATAGTCAATTCATATGTCTCATGTCATTTGTCCATATTTCACAAGGTCATGTCATAAATACTCCTCACAAGGTCCGCATAGGAATTCACAGAGATCTAGAGAGCATTCTTTTTCATATTAAAACCCATTTATTATTAACATTAACTTCATATTCATTTATTACTTTCAACAAAGAACAAAGTAGAATAAATAGAAAATCGGACAGAACAACGGCACCTTCAACAAAACAAAGTAGAGTAAATAGAAAATCAAACAGA